TCCAAGCAATTAAAGCCGTTGGATTATTGAGCCAGTCGAATCCAGGTGTTCCCCTTCCAGCTAAGGCTCACTGAAAAAAAAACAAAAAACAAAAAACAAAAACAAAAACCCACCCAGAACAAAGCCACTTGCTGAGTGAAAGTCCGGTTCAGCCTGTGTGACTTGGAGACCCACACCCCAGCAAGTGGCGCGTGCGGGGGTGGGGGTGGGGGTGGGGGGTGGGGCTTGGGATGGGGGGGGTAGGATCACTCCAGCATGTGCTGGAGCAGCGAGGGATCTGCCTCCACGGCCTGGAGGCTCTTGTGCAAATTCAGGAAGGTGGCCTGCTTCCCGTAGCGCTGGCGCCAGCGGACGAATGCCTCCACCACCTGGGACTGCACGTTGTGGGGATGGTTGGCCTTGCAGCGGTAGATGTCGGTCTGGGACAGCCCCAGGGACAGCACCATGGGCTCCCACTCGGGGCCAAGCTTCTGGGCCAGCTGGTTGATCTGCCGGTCTGATGGGGAGCTGTTGAGGACGTGGGAAGGGATTCCAGCCGTCCAGTCACCTGAGGAGGAAAGGACAGGAAGGCGAATGAGACAAGCAAGAACCTCAGACGGGAAGACGTGAGAAACGGGGGTGGGGGGAGCAGATAAGCAACTACACCCGGTCTTCTTGTACTGCTTGGAACAGCGGGTTGAACAGAGTGCCATTTAGCCTCTCTGGAAGTGTTCACTGCAGACGATCTGAGAAAAGCCGCAGAGCAGAGAAACCCACAGATGGTCACTTATTTCCTCCTCCTTGTGTATCCAGACAAACACGGATCATGCCCATGGACACACAGTTTTGTCTCAAGCTTTTTTTTTTGATTCCCATTCCTTGTCAGAAGCCACATCAGGAGTTCTGGCTGAAGGCCACTTCCCTTGGTACCAGCCTGGGGGGCCAGAGGTGTGCTGCTCCCAGCTGTGAGTGCTACTCCCCTTGAAGGAGGGGCTCCAGCTTGGAGGGGGAGGTCAGGGCCAATAGTTCCTCCCTCCTGTACCAGGAGAAAGGAGGCGGGAATCCAGAGCGCCCTCCCCGGGATAAACAAGCCATAGAGGCAAGAGTTGATGGGAGAGGCGAGCAGAGGCCATTTGGGTGGACTCACCGTCCCAGTCAAGTCCACTAGAGGACCACAGAGTGGGTGATTTGAATGGCCTGACCTTGCACTTCCTAAACAGGACTCCAATCCACCCGAGTCTGCCTCTGAAGAAGTGTGACAACAAGTGGTGTAAATGTGCAAAGCACAGCCACAGACGTTCCACAGGCTCTACAGAAGGGGCGTGTAAGCTGGTGTGAGCCACGGAGCAGAGAGGCTAACGCTGACCCCCGAACAGGAGAAAGCTGGGCCAAGTGGGTGCCGACCCCTCCTAAGGGCGCCACATGAGGCCATGAGGGAGCGGATGGCAGCCAAGAGCAGAGTCTGAGAGGGACTCCAAGCACCCAAGATGGCAGCACTGGCTGCTGGTTAGGTTCAGACATCTGTGCCATGGCAACTGTGGGATACTTGCTGGCCAGCTCCATCGCATCTTAGTGCACGTCACAGTCACCAGCCCCTGCTTCGTTTCCCAGCTCAACGAAAAGGGGCAAACGATCCTGCTAGAAGGCTGGGTCCCACAGCCCGGGTCTCTGACTCCCGGCAGTCAACTGCCAAAACTCCAGGGCTGAGTTACGAAGACCCTTTCAGAATTCGTCAGCTCGGCGATTAAAAATGGACTACGAGGCAATTTGAATAATGAAGAGGATACTGATGTTCAGTAGATCAACAACAATGATTTTGTAGATTTTATAAAAAAAAAAAATATGGGCTCATTAAAAATACTCAAAACCCACGAAAAGTACGAAAGAAGAAATCAAGTCATCCACTGTCCCACCTGGACCCCTCCTTATGTACAGCGCCGCGCCAAGAGGATGGCTAGATTGCAGTGACATTCAAAGGAGCAGCAGAAAGAGCTTTCCTCTACCACCTGCTTTTGTCTGAAGATAGCAGGGGGGGGAAAAGAAGTCGACCTAAATGTCCCTGCAACCCACAGTTAAATCCTTAACACAATACCGAGGAAAAAGATTGAAAACACTTCGTGTTTTACTGAAACCTCACTGCAACAAACTAAACCCACACTGTGCCCCTCTCCTGCCCCCTCTCCCCCCTCCCCTCCTGCCCCCCCCTCCTCCCCCCTCCAGCTCACACTGCTTGATCTTTGTGGCATCACTCACTTCTGTCGGGTGTAATATTTTCCTGCTTCTGGAGTGACTCTACATCCCATGCCCACCCTAAGGAACGGCAACAGGACAATGTCCCCCGCGCCCAACAGTGCCTCTGCTGTTGTGTTGTGACTGGTTTTTCAACTGTGACCCTTCTGTTCCTGTGTTTGTCGTTTTGATCTGTGACAACTGGTCAGTTTCAACACAAGGTGATTTCTTACAAGACACGTTCATAGTCACTGTGGTCTTGGAGTTCTCTGAGGTCAAGATTGCCTATTGCCTCATTAGAACAATGTCTGCATCTTTAGAGAACCAATGATACATTATTTCATGCTATTTAACATCCTATTATTTTGAACTATGAACATACCTTTATGTTATATAAATAATTTTATTCCCCTTGCATATTTACAAGTTTACAGACCTCACTCCTATTTTGTACTTGGGAATGTTGCTTTGGAGAATTCTGATAGCAACTTGGTTACCCAACGTTTTGTGTATGACATTCAAAAGAAATGAAATACTGAACACAGCCTCTCTGCAAAAGGCAAACCCTGTGTGGTTCCAGTCACAGGAAGTACCTAAGGTAGGCACATGACCACAGAGGCAGAAAGAAGAGTGGCATCTGGGGACAGGAGGGAGAGAGGGGGTTGATGTTTAGTGGGTATGGAGTTTGCGATATGCAAGATGAAAGATGTCTAGAGACCTTTTCCTGCCTGATACTTTTCAAAATTTTGTCCATTTGTTACTTCATCTGCTGCTGGTGATTTGGAGTCAAGGTTTATTTTGGGGTTTGACTGCTTTTCCCTTCAGTTGATCGGGTTTGGGGGAGGGACCATCAGTGTCTAATGCTACACTCTGGCATCCTTCTGTCTCCCGGCCAACTCAGAACGCAACAGACGCTGTGAGCCAATTGTCTGGCACCATGAACAGGCTGTGCTCCGATTCTTCTATATGTTCACGGTCATATGCCCTATAAATAGTGCCACATAATTGAGAGGGCAGAAATCTGTGAACACAGGCCGGGGCAAAGATGACTGACATATACACACTACCTCCTCCAAGCAAATCCCACCTTCTACCCAGATACCTTCTCTCTCTCCTTCCTCTAACTACCAATAGTCCCTC